CATTCATAACATCAGCAATCATCTGTTTCTTGTCATCCGCACTACATCCACGCACATTTAAGCATCCCAGTTTTATAAAGTTTTTCTTCTTCTCTTTTTTAGTAAATGTCTACAGAGAAGGGGTTACTAGCCCATTGCTCCCGGCATTTTAGTCGCCTCATACGACACGCATGGCTTACGGAGGAAAGATTCTTTTCCCTTCCCCATGGACAATAAAGAAATAAAGAAGACAAGAGCATTTAGAAAAGGAGAAAAACCAATTATGTATATATAAGCATTGCGTGCCCGGAAGTGTGCCCAAAAGGAAGTAGGAGTAGCAAGAACCCCGTTTCTAGGGGTTTTAGAACAAAAAAGAAACAGCAATCCTACCATCATGAAAAAACAGTTACAGGTCTTTGTTTCACACACTGGCAGGACTAGTACTTCCCTGGGTGGTTGCTGTCTACCAACCTACTCACCTACTACCTACTACCAACCCACTACTTTTTGTATTATCTATTTTTTTTTTACAAAATTTTTTATTTTTATTATATAAATACGTGGACCCCCCGTTAACGAAAATTTTTTTCCCCTCCGAAAATATGTTTTGGTGCCCGTTGGACCGAAATTTTTTCCCATAAGAAATATTGGAAGTGGGGTATCCATTTCAGACCCCCCAAACATACAGTACAAACGCACTTACATAAAAAAAACTTACATTTAAATTGGGGGCGCTTTTGGGGGTTTAAACGTTATGCGGGGTTCCCCCTGTAATTTTTTAATTTTTTTTTCACACCCAAAAATTAAGATTTACTGTTTGTCCTTATTGCAGTTGTTAAAAAATAATGTCCCAACCCCCTTCACAAATGCATGTTGGGAAAGGACAGTTTAAGGGCTTTGTTTTTCTCTGAAACAGCCAAGCAATGGGGCCATTTTTTCCTAGGTTGAGCTTTTATTTCAAGGTACTTCATCATGAAAGCAAATTTAAAAAAATATCTATTTTTTTGTAATATATCTTCCATTCTTTCAAAAGGACCAAAAAAAAACGAGAATACCAAATATAAAAACCATTCAAAATTACTGCAAAAGGGAAAGGCTAATTGCTGAGGAAAAAATGAAAACCCCTTATTTATGCTTTGATTTCTTTCATTTTTTGGTGTTCGTTTAAAAAGCATCCCTTTTCCCTCTTTCATTGCCCCAAATTTCAATAAGATAGTCCGGGCAAACAAATTAGTTCAAAATTCCCCAGAAAAAGAGCAAGAACCCCTCACCAGTGTCAAGAAACCCGCCTTTAGGTCTGCTCGCTTTTTGTAAATTTTTTCTCCGTATGGAAGCAAAAAATGACCCATCGACTTTTCTCGTATTTTGGAAAAAAATCCCCACGGGGGGACACGCTTGGGAAGTAGGGGGTTCCACTGTTTAGTAAATTTTTTTAAAAAACCCCCGGGTGTCTCCCGGGAGGGACGGTGACCCCTTAAGAAAAAAACAAATTGCACCCTCACTCACTCCAAAAACTGTCTTTCCCGAGGCATACTACAGTTCAAAAAATGGGAAATATCCCCACTCACTTTAACTTCATTGTATAGTGAAAAAATAGAGACATCTCATTTAAATGTTTCAGGGACTGTGCTGAGAAAATACTGATGCGCCCCCAGCTAACTCAATAACATGTCTTCCATTCTATCAAATGAGACCAAGAAATACGCAAATACAACTATAAAAAACATACGAAAAAACACTGCAAAGTTGCTGTTTTAATCGAAAAATCATGATTTCATTTTTTTTCTCTCATTATACACAGTGTGCTGCAGGATCTGTTTTATGTGGTGCACACATACCACATAGATGTATTCTCTCATATCTAGGCCCAAATGTACCACTCACAGTTTATCAGAGTGAGCTGAGCTCATGGCGTAGATCTACGGTTTGGACCCTGAACGTAAAGCCGTAGATCTACGGGACGGACCCTGAAAGGGTTAAGATCTACATTATTTAGTTTATATGTGGCATGGTTATTTTCCTGTCCAACATTTAGAACTTTGCATTTGTCTATATTGAATTCCATCTGCCACTACTCTGACCACTGCATCAGTGTATTCAAATTATCCTGGAGTGCTCTAATGTCCTCATTAGAAGGAATTGGACAGCCTATTTTGGTGTCATCAGCAAATTTGCTTATGTCGCTATTTATTCCCTCATCTATGTCTTTTATGTAGATTGTGAACAAGGGGCCCAACACTGACCCCTGTGGAACACTGCTTATGATGTGCCCCCATTCTGATTTCTCCCCATTTATGCAAACTCTCTGCTGCCTATTTGTCAACCATGCCTGTACCCAGGAAAAAATTTCTCCTATTCTGTGTTCCTTAAATATTCTCAAAAGCCCCTGATGTGGAACTCTATCAAAAGCCTTACTGAAGTCCATATACACAATATCATTTTCAATACCATTATCTACCTCCTCAAATACCTTAGTGAAGAAAGTTAGTAAATTCCTAAGACAGGAATGCCCCTTTGTAAAACCGTGCTGAGATTCATTAATCAATTTATGCCTTTCAAGATGGCTACGAATTGCTTCAGCAATTATTGATTCCATAAATTTACCAACTATGGAAGTAAGGCTTATTGGTCTATAGTTCGAAGGTAAGGACCTGTCACCTGCCTTGCAAATAGGTATTACAAGTTTTGAGTTTTGAGATTCTCTGATCGCGGGTTCTATCCCCGCCCATGGTATGGTTTGGTAGGTATTACATTTGCCTTTTTCCACTTGTCTGGCACTATGCCAGTTTGCCAATCTGTTTGTCTGTCTGTCTGTCTGTCTAGCTCTGCTTATCTGTCTTTCTGTCTGCCTGTGTGTGCCTGGAGTATATATGAAACTCCTTGAAGAATGGTGTTTTGACAACTGTTGACAGCCCAGTGACATTTGATAAATGGGCACTGGGGAACCCTTATTGTATCTGTTTTCACTGTTACACACAAACATTTTTGTCTGTCTGTCTATCTTTGCCTACAATATTAGGGTTGTTAGGTAAGACACATATGCAACAGTTAGGTATCTTTATTGTGAAACGTTTCGCCTACACAGTAGGCTTCTTCAGTCAAGTACAGGAAAGGTTGATAGAAGCAGAAGATACTTGAAGACGATGTAATCAGTCCATCACCCTTAAAGTTTTGAGGTGGTCAGTCCCTCAGTCTGGAGAAGAGCATTGTTCCATAGTATGAAACAATATGGAGAAGAAGTGACAGGATGGAGCTTTTATAGCGCCAAGAGGTGAGACGTAGGAGAGGTAAGAACTCAGATGTTGAGAGGTCCCTCTCAAATCCAGCCCCTCTCACTAGTGGAAGTTGTCGAAGTTGATTGCAGGTCTGTACCAAGATACCCTTGTGTTGCAGTGTCTGACAGATTGAACATTAAAATGGTATAAAATACCGACAGGTTGTTAGGTAAGACACATATGCAACAGTTAGGTATCTTTATTGTGAAACGTTTCGCCTACACAGTAGGCTTCTTCAGTCAAGTACAGGAAAGGTTGATAGAAGCAGAAGATACTTGAAGACGATGTAATCAGTCCATCACCCTTAAAGTTTTGAGGTGGTCAGTCCCTCAGTCTGGAGAGGAGCATTGTTCCATAGTATGAAACAATATGGAGAAGAAGTGACAGGATGGAGCTTTTATAGCGCCAAGAGGTGAGACGTAGGAGAGGTAAGAACTCAGATGTTGAGAGGTCCCTCTCAAATCCAGCCCCTCTCACTAGTGGAAGTTGTCGAAGTTGATTGCAGGTCTGTACCAAGATACCCTTGTGTTGCAGTGTCTGACAGATTGAACATCGTCTTCAAGTATCTTCTGCTTCTATCAACCTTTCCTGTACTTGACTGAAGAAGCCTACTGTGTAGGCGAAACGTTTCACAATAAAGATACCTAACTGTTGCATATGTGTCTTACCTAACAACCTGTCGGTATTTTATACCATTTTAATGTTCAATATTAGGGTTATCCTAGGTAATTTACACTATGTATAATAACTGTACTTCTGTGTACATGTGAGAGAGACAGAGATAGACAGAGATATAGACAGATACAGATATAGATACAGAGATATAGAGAGAGAGACAGTCAGAGACAGCCAAAGCCAGCCAGCCTGCTGAATACATAAGAACATAAGAAAGAAGGAACAATGCAGCAGGACTACTGGCCCATGCAAAGCAGGTCCATGTCACCCCCCAGCTTAGACCAATGACCCACCTAGTCAGGTCACATCCACTGAAGGAAGAAGCACGGCATCAGACCTAGTAGCACAAGCTAGTCAAGTTCAACTCACACCCACCCACACCCACTCATATATTTATCTAACCTATTTTTAGGTAGTGTTTAAAATACAGTTACCTCGAGTTTCGAACAGCTCCCAACTTGAACAATTATGTAAGTGTATTTTTGTAAGTGCTTTATTAAGTGTATTTTTGGGGGTCTGAGAAGGACTAATCTAATTTACATGATTCCTTATGGGAACAAATTCGTTAGTTAACGGCATTCGAACAGCCTTCTGGAACAAATTAAGTTCGTAACTTGAGGTATCACTGTATGTATTTGGTGACACCCCATGTACAAGAAAACTTGAGTAATATGATGTAAATACACAGAATAGTGGTGGAGCAAATGATGATGAAAGCCCTTCTTTTTCAGGTCACCCTGCCTTGGTGGGAAATGGCTGTGTTAATAATAATAATATTAATAATAATAATAATAATAATATTGGCAGTTTGGAGGGATATGTTGTGTATCTTTATATGTGTATGCTTCTAGACTGTTGTATTCTGAGCACCTCTGCAAAAACAGTGATAATGTGCGAGTGTGGTGAAAGTGTTGAATGATGATGAAAGTATTTTCTTTTTGGGGATTTTCTTTCTTTTTTGGGTCACCCTGCCTCGGTGGGAGACGGCCGACTTGTTGAGAAAAAAAAAAAAAAAAAAAAAAAAAAAAATAATAATAATAATAAAAGAACAGATTCAAAATTTGCACTCACCATTTTCCCCCTCCATTTCTTAATCACCAGATGGGCAAAGAAGCGAAAAACGGTAATGTTTACGTCATCCACTTTGTCTCGTTTAGTAGAGGCAATAGGATTTATTAATTCTACAATCTTCTTTAGTTCTTTCTGCAATAATAAAAACATACATATCAATACTTACATACCACAAAAACCAGAAAACAAACTGATATGGTTCAACTACATTCAGGTAACTGAGAGAATTACATAAACAGTATCTCTAGTTTCCATCAACAGTATCTCTAGTTTCCAATCCCTGTATAATTCACAATGCAAACAATATATGAAATAATCTTAAGAGCAAATTCTTTCCTCTTCCTCTTTCTCTTAGTTACTCCCTTCCCTTCCTCTTCATCAGTTTCCCCTACCCTTGTTCTGTCTTGTAGGATTACTTTCCTCAAGCAAGGTTCCATGATGCTGATGAGTGGCTCTTGATCCAAGGAATTTGGCTTGTTCTCCCCATATTTTTGGACTGAACCTCAATGCCTCCCATTCCCCAGGCATTGCGAGACCCCTATGGGTTTAGTGCTTCCCTTTAAAGTTTATATACATAAACAATAATGTTAGCAATACTCAGCTCTCCTACTTCAACCATATACATAATATAATTGTTAATAAGTAATGTGTGTATGTGTGTGTTGAATTACAGTATTTAAAATACAACTGAACAAAATTTGCAATCTTTTTAATTCAAATGTTTTGCTTACCCAACAACTTTTATTGAAGTGCATCTCACAAATGACGTTGCCTGCCTACTCAGGAGTTTTTTCATGGTGTAGATTTTTGTGGTTTATTACATGACACCTAAATTGAAAAACGAATATAGGATTGTATTCAAAATGTCCTCAATGCATATGCCATGTTCAAATCTCTTTTTTTGGGACATTGGTAGCCCATGTGAGGCAGGTCCAGGTCTCCCACCAGCTTAAGCCAATGGCTCAACCTAGTCAGGTCAGGTCACATTATGATGGAGTATGGCATCAGACCTACCAGCACAAGCTAGTCACGTCCAACTCACACCCACCGACACCCACTCATGTATTTATCTAACCCATTTTCAAAACTACACAATGTCTTGGCTTCTATGATGGTACTCGAGAGTTTATTCCACTCATCCACAACTCTATTACCAAACCAGTGCTTTCCTGTATCGTTCTTGAATATGAATTTTTCCAACTTAAAACGACTGCTGTGAGTCCTGTCATGGCTAGATATTTTTAGCACACTATTTACATCCCCTTTATTTATTCCTGTTTTCCATTTATACACCTCAATCATATCCCCCCTAATTCTAGAAAGTGCAGATTCAGGGCCCTCAGTCTATCCTCATAGGGAAGATTTCTGATACATGGGATCAACTTTGTCATCCTCCTTGTATGTTTTTCAGAGCATTTACATCCAGTCTGTCATACGGTGACCAAAACTGTGCAGCATAATCTGAGGCTTAACCAAGGCTATATAGAGTTGAAGAACAACCTGAGGATTCCTATTATTTATGCTTCTTGATATGAAGCCAAGAATTCTGTTTGCTTTATTGCGAACACTTATGCACTGTTGTCTTGGTTTTAGATTACTGCTAACCAGAACTTCCAAATCCTTTTAGCAATCAGTAATATTAAGATCTACATTATTTAGTTTATATGTGGCATGGTTATTTTCCTGTCCAATGTTTAGAACTTTACATTTGTCTATATTAAACTGCATCTGCCACTTCTCTGACCACTGCATCAGTCTATTCAAATCTTCCTTGGGTGCTCTAATGTCCTCATCAGAATGAATTCTTCTGCCTATTTTGGTGTCATTGGCAAACTTGCTTCTATTGCTACTTATTCCCTCATCTATGTCGTTTATGTAGATTGTGAACAACAAGGGGCTCAACAGTGACTCCTGTGGAACACTGACGAACTTAATTCATTCCAAAAGGCTGTTCGAGTGCCGATACCGAATGAATTTGTTCCTATAAGGAATAATGTAAATTAGATTAGTTTGTTTCAGACCCTCAAAAATACACTTACAAAAGCACTTACAAAAATACACTTACAAAATTGTTCGAGTTGGGAGCTGTTTGAAACTTGTGGTACCACTGTACTGATTCCATAAATTTTCCCACTAGGGAGGTTAGGCTTATTGGTCTATAGTTCAAAGCTAAGGACCTGTCACCTGCTTTGAAAATAGGTATCACATTTGCCATTTTCCACTTATCTGGTACTATGCCAGTTCGTAGTGATGTGATAAATGGTTTAAAACCAACAAGTTGAAGATTGAGACACTTATGCAACATATAGGAATCTTTATTGAAGAAACGTTTTGCCACACAGTGGTTTCATCAGTCCAGTACAAAGCAGAAAGGTGTAAGGAAAGGAGGAGTTTGACGTAATCAGTCCCTCAGCCTGGAGCTGGTGTGTTCAGTCCATCAATCTTGTAGAAAGTACAGCACAGGGCCGTAGAAGTGGCTTATATACTGTAGTCAGGTGAGGCGAAGCAAGAGGAGGCAGGGTCATAGTGGAACCATCATCCACTAGTCTAAGTAGGTCTTCGTTCAAAGGTTGGACAAGTGTTGAATAATTCTTTGTATCAAGATCTAATGATGTTGCAGTGTCTGACAGATGTGATAAATGGTTTAAAGATTCCCATTTGTTGCGTAAGTGTCTCAATCTTGTAGTGATATGTTGAAAAGATTAGCCAAAGGTTTGTTAAGCTCCTCTTTACATTCCTTTAGAATCCTTGTGTACAGCTCATCAGGGCCTGGGGATTTGTTAGGTTTTAATTTGTCTATTTGTCTAAGGACCATGTCACTTGTGACCCTAATTGTGCATAGTTTATCATCATCCTGTTCTACATAATTTATTATTTCTGGAATATCGCTAGTATCTTCCTGTGTAAAAGCTGAGAGGATGCAAGTGTTAAAAATTTTGCACATTTCCTTATCACTGTCAGTGAGCTGACTCAAGTAACTTTTGAGTGGGCGTATCTTGTCCCTAATCTTACTTCTGCATACCTGAAAGAATCCATTTGGGTTAGTCTTCAATTCCCTTGCAACTTTAACCTCATAATCTCTCTGCTTTTCTTTCTTCTTCTTTCAACACACCGGCCGTATCCCACCGAGGCGGGGTGGCCCAAAAGGAAAAACGAAAGTTTCTCCTTTCAAATTTAGTAATATATACAGGAGAAGGGGTTACTAGCCTCATGCTCCCGGCATTTCAGTCGCCTCTTACGACATGCATGGCTTATGAGGAAGAATTCTATTCCACTTCCCCATGGAGATAAGAGGAAATAAACAAGAACAAGAACTAGAAAGAAAATAGCAGAAAACCCAAAGGGGTGTGTATATATATGCTTGTACATGTATGTGTAGTGTGACCTAAGTGTAAGTAGAAGTAGCAAGACATACCTGAAATCTTGCATGTTTATGAGACAGAAAAAAAGGACACCAGCAATCCTACCATCATGTAAAACAATTACAGACTTTCGTTTAACACTCACTTGGCAGGACGGTAGTACCTCCCTGGGCAGTTGCTGTCTACCAACCTACTACCTAGACTGCTTTTCTTATTCCCTTTTTTATTTTTATTTTTAACTGGATATACTGATTTCTTAACTGCCCCTCTCCTCTTTTCATTTGCCTATATATGCCTCTCTTTTGACCAGTGAGATGTTTTAATCTATTGTTTATTCATTTAGGATAATTTTTGTTTGGTATGATTTCCCTATTCGGAACATAAGTTGTCTGAGCAGCTAGAACTATGTTCTGGAAAACGTCATATCGGCAACCATCACCACCTACCTGACCCACAGTGAGGTCATTCCAGTTCAGCCCACCCAGGTAATTTCTCAATCCTATGAAATCAGCCAAACGAAAGTCAGGGACAGAAACTTGATTGCCATTATTAGGGTAATTCCATGATATATTAAAATTGAGCGATTTGTGATCACTTTCCCTAAGCTCATCATTAACCTTAAGATGATTAATTAGCGATTCTCTGCTGGAAAGAACCAAGTCAAGCAGGATATTTCCTCTAGTTGGTTCTGTCACAAACTGTTTTAAAAAACAATTCTGAATCGTATCAAGAAAGTCACTTGACTCTAAATTTCCTGTGAAATTACTCCAGTCAATTTGTCTAAAGTTAAAATCCCCCATTAGCACAGCATTTTCGTATGTAGATGCCCTACGAATTTTGTCCCACAGAAGTTTACTGCACTCCCTATCAAGGTTTGGGGGCCTGCAAATCACACCCAAGATTAGTTTTTCATGACCCATGAGAAGCTGTAACCAAACAGTTTCAGTGACTGACACTTCTAATTTTATACAACTATGTATCATGTCCAAATAAAAATAAATAAATAAAAAAAAATAAATATCTTTTCTAACACAACAATTTAAATTATCTCTGACATACATCACTACTCCACCACCCTTCCTGTTGTCCCTATCAGCGTAGAATAATTTATAACCTTGTATGTGGCATTCAGAAGGCATCTCTCTTTCAGATTCAGCCAGGTCTTTGTTGCAGCAATAATATCTATGCTTCCTGCACTTGCAATTAATCTTAGCTCATCTATCTTATTTATATACTCCAATAACAAATGTTGATTGGCAACAAGAAAGGAGAGAATGGGGTACAGTATGGGTTTCAAATTACTTTCAACTTGTCCAAATGTAATATCCCCAGACTGTAATTTGAGTAAACTTACTGTCTGCTATAAATAAAAACAGATATACACCTTTTACCCTTAAACTGTCCAAACGTAGATCTACGTTTTTTCAACATTTGAAAGCATGTAAAAAAAGTAGATCTTTTCTTTTTTTATAGATTTGAAAATGTGTAAAAAAAAAACTTTGATCTACTTTTTATTTCTGTTATATTTGAAAATATGTAAGAAACGTAGATCTACTTTTAGAGCATTACGCATGTCAACGTAAATTTGTTTGGACAGTTTAAGGGTTAAAAAAACAACAACAACAACTATGATCAATTTCTCTAGTATTAAGTAGTCTGTAAGCCATTAAATTTAGTCTGCCCATAATGCCAAGGCATGATAGTGGCTCTTTTTGCACTGCAACTCATTATTGTAAATACATAATCTCAATGTAAACTTGCAAGGAAATAAAAATTTGTATTTGTATCATGCATGTTAAGTATTCATATGCTTAGCATGCAAAAGTATGCATATTAGCATGCATATTTTTAACATGCAAAAGTATGCATGCTAAGCATGCATATGCTTAACATGCAAAAGTATGCATGTTAAGCATGCATATGCTTAACATGCAAAAGTATGCAACAAGACTAATTCCAGAGCTAAGGGAGTGAACATATAAAAACATATTAAATACACAAAAACAGAAGCCTGTTTACATGATAGTAGGATTGCTGGTGTCTTTTTTCTGTCTTATAAACATGCAAGATTTCAGGTATATCTTGCTAATTCTACTTACACTTAGGTCACATTATACATGCATGTACAAACATATACATACACACCCTTCTGGGTTTTCTTATATTTTCTTACTAGTTCTTGTTCTTGTTTATTTCCTCTTATCTCCATGGGGAAATGGAACAGAATTCTTCCTCCATAAGTCATGCGTGTTGTAAGAGATGACTAAAATGCTGAGAGCAAGGAGCTAGTAACCCCTTCTCCAGTATATATTACTAAAGTTAAAATAAGGAACTTTTGTGTTTCTTTTTGAGCACAGGATGGATATGGGGTACACAATAAACTAGCCATTTGGTGACAAAATCTAAAAATCTTTATTAAAGTTAAAAAGAGAAACTTTTGTTTTTGTTTTTGGGCCACCCTGCCTCAGTGGGATATGGCCGATTTGTTGAAAGATGATGATAAAACACTCAGAGGAATTGATAGGACAGACAGGAACAGGTTGAATGAGAGGTGGGAAACAGGTACTTGGGGGCACAGCTGGAAGTTAGAAGCATGGATGAGTCATAGTGATGTCAGAAAGTAATTCTTGTCTCAAGGTGGCCAGGAAGTGAAATGACCTTGACAAAGAAGTGGAGGCAAAAATAATCAGTACAATAAGACCCATGACCCTATTAGAGTGAATCTGGCGAGCAGCAAGTTGAGAGGTGGGGCCTGGAACTAAGACTCGATCTCTGCAATCAGCTAAGGGTGAGTAGCTTAACCTGTAAATGGTCCAAATGTATATACGTATACGTTTTTACCGCTAGTGCCCCAAATGTATATATACGTTTTATTTGTCATACATTCAACATTGCCATGATAAGCCTGAGTCACCTAGACATGAGAGAATGGGTGTGCGCACTCACTGTGCGCCTTATTAAAATAACTGAGGATGCCTGGGTACCATATGCTCTTTTTTTCCTATTAAAAAAAAAGAAGATTTTTTACTTAAAAAATTTGGGGCTCTATGGGAGAGAACGTATATATACGTTTGGACCATTTATGGGTTAAAATGGAGCTTCCATAAATCTAGCTTAAAGCAACTTATTATTGGTACAATTATTATTATAATAAAAAAGAAGCACTAAACCTTCAAGGGTCATTTATTATAGGTAACTAACTGTGATTTGGAAATGGGGACAGTCATTAATTATATGATTTAACAAGTTGAAGGACAAGCAAGGAATAAGGCTAAATAAATTTGGCTAATAAAATTAAGGCCCTCAGTTTGATTATTAAAAAAATTGTAATTTAATTTCTATGATACACTGCACCAATTAAGATAAAGGAAAAGAAACAATCCATTACTGTATATTTATAGAACTCAGATGACTCTGCATGTCCAACTGTTTCAATGGAGATTTTACTGCATTCCCAATACTTTATTCAAAGACTGCACCAAAATGAGAGACACTGTATATCATTTGTGTGTCATGTGTTAATAACTAACCTTTCGGGCTGCAGAGAGTGGCTCATCTGTTATACAGAAGTCCATCAGCTTCATGACAGAGTGTAAAACACACCCATCCTCTTCGTCATAAAATATTTGCAACTGTTCCTCAACCAATTGTGCAACATCTTGAACCTGTTCAAATTTCAATTATCAGGTGGAGCTAATGAACAATGAAAGTAATAAAATATGTAATGTATGTGCGAAATTGTAAACAGGTAAAGGGGGCAGGGGGAGGGCCAAGACAATGCAAAAATATGACAAATGGAAAATGCTGGTACAGCCGACCTCTGTGTGACCTTGATATGGTACATGGAGAAATGATTAAATAAGCAAAAACCAGTCAAAGTCAAATTTAAGTGATTTTCTAGAATTAAAAGGTGCTGAGTAAGCTCAGGGCTTACATTCTTTTTTAACACATCGGCCATTTCCCAATGAGGCAGGGTGATCCGAAAAAGAAGAAAGACTTTCATCATTCATTCATTCCATCACTGTCTTGCCAGAGGCCTGTCTACACCAGAGTTAAAAAACAGCAAGACATCAACACCCCTTCTTTAGACTGCAGGCACTGTACTTCCTACCTCCAAAACTCAAGTCTAACTAACCAGGTTCCCTGAATCCCTTCATATATGTTACTGTGCTTACACACCAACAGTACATCAAGATATAAAAACCATTTATCTTCACTCACTCCTATCTGACAGATTGAACATTAAAATGGTATAAAATACCGACAGGTTGTTAGGTAAGACACATATGCAACAGTTAGGTATCTTTATTTCGAAACGTTTCGCCTACACAGTAGGCTTCTTCAGTCGAGTACAGAAAAGTTGATAGAAGCAGAAGATACTTGAAGACGATGTAATCAGTCCATCACCCTTAAAGTTTTGAGGTGGTCAGTCCCTCAGTCTGGAGAAGAGCATTGTTCCATAGTAGGAAACAATATGGAGATGAAGTGACAAATTGGAGCCTTATATAGCGCCAAGAGGTGAGACGCAGGTCACTAGAAGAGGTAAGAACTCAGATGTTGTGAGGTCAGGTCCCTCTCAAATCCAGCCGTTCTCACTAGTGGAGGTTGTCGAAGTTGATTGCAGGTCTGTACCAAGATACCCTTGTGTTGCAGTGTCTGACAGATTGAACATTAAAATGGTATAAAATACCGACAGGTTGTTAGGTAAGACACATATGCAACAGTTAGGTATCTTTATTTCGAAACGTTTCGCCTACACAGTAGGCTTCTTCAGTCGAGTACAGAAAAGTTGATAGAAGCAGAAGATACTTGAAGACGATGTAATCAGTCCATCACCCTTAAAGTTTTGAGGTGGTCAGTCCCTCAGTCTGGAGAAGAGCATTGTTCCATAGTAGGAAACAATATGGAGATGAAGTGACAAATTGGAGCCTTATATAGCGCCAAGAGGTGAGACGTAGGTCACTAGAAGAGGTAAGAACTCAGATGTTGTGAGGTCAGGTCCCTCTCAAATCCAGCCGTTCTCACTAGTGGAGGTTGTCGAAGTTGATTGCAGGTCTGTACCAAGATACCCTTGTGTTGCAGTGTCTGACAGATTGAACATTGAGAGGGACCTGACCTCACAACATCTGAGTTCTTACCTCTTCTAGTGACCTACGTCTCACCTCTTGGCGCTATATAAGGCTCCAATTTGTCACTTCATCTCCATATTGTTTCCTACTATGGAACAATGCTCTTCTCCAGACTGAGGGACTGACCACCTCAAAACTTTAAGGGTGATGGACTGATTACATCGTCTTCAAGTATCTTCTGCTTCTATCAACTTTTCTGTACTCGACTGAAGAAGCCTACTGTGTAGGCGAAACGTTTCGAAATAAAGATACCTAACTGTTGCATATGTGTCTTACCTAACAACCTGTTGGTATTTTATACCATTTTAATGTTCAATCTGTCAGACACTGCAACACAAGGGTATCTTGGTACAGACCTGCAATCAACTTCGACAACCTCCACTAGTGAGAATGGCTGGATTTGAGAGGGACCTGACCTCACAACATCTGAGTTCTTACCTCTTCTAGTGACCTACGTCTCACCTCTTGGCGCTATATAAGGCTCCAATTTGTCACTTCATCTCCATATTGTTTCCTACTATGGAACAATGCTCTTCTCCAGACTGAGGGACTGACCACCTCAAAACTTTAAGGGTGATGGACTGATTACATCGTCTTCAAGTATCTTCTGCTTCTATCAACTTTTCTGTACTCGACTGAAGAAGCCTACTGTGTAGGCGAAATGTTTCGAAATAAAGATACCTAACTGTTGCATATGTGTCTTACCTAACAACCTGTCGGTATTTTATACCATTTTAATGTTCAATCTGTCAGACACTGCAACACAAGGGTATCTTGGTACAGACCTGCAATCAACTTCGACACCTCCACTAGTGAGAACGGCTGGATTTGAGAGGGACCTGACCTCACAACATCTGAGTTCTTACCTCTTCTAGTGACCTACGTCTCACCTCTTGGCGCTATATAAGGCTCCAATTTGTCACTTCATCTCCATATTGTTTCCTACTATGGAACAATGCTCTTCTCCAGACTGAGGGACTGACCACCTCAAAACTTTAAGGGTGATGGACTGATTACATCGTCTTCAAGTATCTTCTGCTTCTATCAACTTTTCTGTACTCGACTGAAGAAGCCTACTGTGTAGGCGAAACGTTTCGAAATAAAGATACCTAACTGTTGCATATGTGTCTTACCTAACATACACTCCTATCTAACATGCCCATGCATGCTTGCTGGAAGCCCAAGCCCTTCACACACAAAACCTTCTTTACCCCCTCCCTCCAACCTTTCCTAGGATGACCCCTACCCCGCCTTCCTTTCCCAAAGATTTATATGCCTTCCAAGTCATTCTATTTTCTTCCACCCTCTCTAAATGTCTGAACCACTTCAACAACCCCTCCTTTTCCCTCTGGATAATACTTTTAAAACTCCAGCACTGCCTTCTAATCTCCAAGCTACAGATTTTCTGCATTATATTCACACTGCACATTGCCCTCAGACAGGACATCTCACAGCCTCCAGCCTTCTTGTTGCCACATTCGCCACCCATGCTTCACACTTATATAAGAGTGTTGGTACCACTATACTCTCATACATTTCCCTCTTTGCTTCCATGGATAATGTTCTTTGTCACCACAGACTCCTCATTGCTCCACTCATCATTTTCCCTTCATCAATTCTATGATTCACCTCATCTTTCAAAGACCAATCTGCTGACAAATCCATTCCCAAATACTAACTAAATACATTCACTTCCTCCACACTCCCTCCCTCCAATGTGATATCCAATGTGTCATTACCTAAAGATCTGTTATCCTTATCACCTTGCACTTTCCTATGTTCACTTTTAATTTCCTTCTTTTACATACCTTTCTAAACTCATCCATCAAAAAAAAAAAAAAAAAAAAAAAAAAAAAAAAAAAAAAAAAAAAAAGCAACTGCAACAACGCCCACTTTGTGTTAGATTCTTTATCTCTTAATCCCACACCTCTTGCCAACACCCAAGCAAAAGAAAGAAGGAATGCTGCAGCAGGCCTACTGGCCCATGCGAGGCAGGTCCAATTCTCCTAATGGCTTAAGCCAATGCCCTAACCTAAGTACAACTCCATCTGTAAATATATTGAACAACCATGGTGACATCACACATCCCTGTCCAAGGCCTACTTTTGCTGAGAAATAATGTCCCTCTCTCTTACATACTCTAACCTGAGCCTCACTATCCTTGTAAAAACTTTTAACTGCTTTCAGTAACCTACCACCTATTCCACACATTGCAACATTTGCCACATTGTCCCCCTATCCACCCTATCATATGCCTTTTCCAAATCAATAAGTGCAACAAAAGCCTCTTTACTTTTATGCAAATACTGTTCACCTATATACTTCGCTGTAAACACTTGTGTCTACACACCCCTTACCCTTCTTCAAGCCTCCTCGTTCATCTGCGATCCTGCTCTCCATTTTACCTTTCTTTCAATAAAAACTCTACCATACACTTTACCAGGTATACTCAACAGGCTTATTCCTCTACATTTTTTACACTGTCTTTTGTCCCTTTTGCCTTTATACAAAGGTACTATGCATGCTCTTTGCCAGTCCCTAGGTACCTTCCACCTCTTCCATACATTTATTAAATAAAACCAACCATTCCAAAATTATATCCCCACATGCTTTTAACCCTTTGACTGTCACAACCCCAAATCCTGAGGTGTCTCCTAGTGTCACAAAATATTGGAAAAAAAAAGAAAAAAAAAAAAAACTTATGAAATGATAGAGAATCTTTTTCCAATGGTAATGACACCAAAAGTATGAAATTTGATGGAAAACTTATGGAATTACGCTCTCACAAAGTTAGCGATCTCAGAGATATTTACGAATCTGCAATTTCGCTCACTTTGAGCCCTATTTTCGGTAATTCCATTGTTCCAGTTGACAAAACTCATAGCTATTTCTTTATAATTCCATTTGTTCTATCGACTGAGTACAAGAAACTGCCCATTTACTGATTCTGACTACCCAATAAAGTGGTCAGAAATGGCAATTTGGCCAATTTCACACAAGTTAAAAAATACAGGTCTCCCTCAACATTCGCGAGGGTTAGGGGATCAAGAGCCTAGTGAATGTTGAAAAACCGTGAATGTTTGGTGCCCCAATATATTGTACGGAAATATAATACAATACTGCTTCCTTAACTTGTTGAACCATGAACAATCATAAAATACATGAAAATGTCATAAATTGTACTAAATATATACATGTTATGCTTTAATAACATGTATGTTATTAAATACCACAGACTCCACCAATGCCTCCACCACTTCCTCAACCACTGGGAGTCCCTACTACCCTCCCTCCAACCCCCGCAACTGGCAGCCAGCCCTCCCACCACTCAGTGTGGTGAGTGTTTTGTTTGTTCATTATTTGCTATTAAACTACAGTATAAATAATGTAAACCCATTCGTGACTGCATATTGGAATGGCTATTCGGAAAGGTATTAGACGGTGACATCATGTGTTTACTCTTGAACACAGCAAAGAATCGAACATTTCTGCTACTGCTAATAATAACAATAATAATAATAATAATAATAATAATA